AAAGGATATCCCTTCCACCACTCTTCATTTATTCAGTACTGGCTGGCTTTAACATTAATGCAATGTACTATTTCCAGAATTTGGTTTCATCGCTTACTGACAACTTCGCTAGCTTATTTTCACATAGTTCGGCCAGTGGAAAATATATGGACCGCTTTCTCAGGGCGATGAGGACTAGTATAATGCACTGTTGCATACAGACCCGTTTCTATCCACCGATCGCGAAACAAACAATACAAAAGCAGTTGCTAAGAAGCAGATCCTTAACAAGCAACAGTTGAACTACAACAATAGAGGAACTGCTGAAAACGACGTTTTCTGTGGTCCGCGCCGCACAAAAGTTGAACTATAAGAATAGAAGTACTTATGTTTTCTACGTGATCCGTGCCGAAAGGTTCTAAGCAGGATGAAGTTGAGAGCTTAGTCAGCTAAAAATTGGAGAGGCTTAAACTTGGCGGTGGTCAAGCTTACGGCCGTTCACGTGACTGAGTTTCCGTTGTAGCATAAGATACGTATGATGATCTGTTCTGCAAAGCCTGTACTGACAGAGCGCAAAAGGAAGAATTTTCAATAGCATGCTATACGTGAGATATGCACACTTGGCGAAAGGCCAAGCACATTCATAAGAGACAACCCCATCTTCCAGTCAGAGATGATGTTACATAAGGACTATGACCGTAAGGGTTCAGTTGAAAAAAAAATCTCTGGTCATGACTGTCAAGGGGCTTGACGCCAAGACGAATTGATGGGCGGTAAACCGCCAATCGTAAAGTATCTTTGACTTTGACATTTGCTTTGACCTTAGTCAGCTGACTCCGTCGGTGCAGTTGAAGAATCCCCACTGTTAGAAGCCGTTACCAAAGGACAAAAAGTTCACTGGCTTCTGGGATACGGGACGTGTATAATCCTTGTACAACGAAATGAGACTGAGTTATTGTCAGATAGTGACGTATGCAGGTGGGAATTCAATGCACACACGGTTCTCCTTCAGCTGCAACTGCAATTTCCGAACATCTGAATATATAGCATATTTTCGAAAATTTTAAACTTTTGAAATTATACACGATATTAGAATCTCTGACATATCCGAAAATATTCAACTTTTTTTATTACTCGAAAATTGTCATAAACTCTTTCAAACTTATGAAAATTTTCAATATTTCCCAAGACATGAATACTTCAGTAAATATTTCGTTTTGTTATAACTGTGCAAATACTTAAACATGAGAAATATATGAAAACATTCGGCTTTTTTATTTTCCTTAAATTTCATACTTCTGAATAATCTGACCACTTTGAAATGTCTGATTTTTGTGGGGTGAGGGGAGGGGGGGTGAGTAATTGAAATTTTCGCAAATTATGACAGTTGCTTGAAATTTCAAATTGATATTTTATAAATGTTTAAAATGTATATCTTTTTTTTATTGTTAATCTACGGTTTCATTAATATTCGATACCACCAGTCTTGGGTTTCATGAATTCAGTATATGCCATTTATCTTGGATTTCATTAATATTAGGTTTCATTATCCTGTGGTCCCACTAACCTTGTTTCATTCATCTTCAGTTTTAATTAGTATTCTCATTAAAAAAATCACGGGTTTAATTACTCTTGTTTAAATAACGCGGCACAGGTTACGCTAGGTAAAATTTACGTTAACGTTGGATTTCATTAATCTTGCGTTTCACTAATCCTGGTTTTCATTAAGCGTGGATTTTTCATAGAGGAAACGTAACTCAACTCCAGGTTGTTCTAGCAACAGATTTCAGTGCCAAGACACAAGAAGCCAGGCGTCCAGTCACTCTGCACGCCCCGCAGTTGAGAGTGAGCGCCATTTCGTAGCCTCAGAGTCCTGTAGTACAATATGGCTGCGTGAGACTTGTCCCACCAGACAACTAGCTCGCCGCGTGCTCGGCTGCTAATGGATCTAATTTATTAGGAATCCCCTGGCAGGAAAACGACGCGTCAATCGCATGCGCCCAGCACTGCCTAATCACTCTGGGTGCTGGGCGTGGGGGTTTCAACAGCAATGGCTATGCACCGCACTACCTCCTGGTATATGACTCCATGCAGTCCTATAGAAGTTTAATGATGTTTCGACAGAAGGCAATATCTACAATTCCGAAGTCTGAAAAGAAAACCAAGAGCAAATGACTTAGTTTTCGAGGCTGGCAATTAAATGTTCGGCTTTCGGCGCTAGACAGCTTCGACAGTTGAAGGTTTTCCAAAGTTTCGACCAACACTGCAGTTTCCATCTCCAGATTCAATGACTTCGGAAGGGGCTCAACAGCTGTTATATAGCCCACGCATTAGACAGTGTATCGGAGGTGAAGCCGTGATTGGATAGATACGAACGAGAGCAGGATGCTAACCAATAGGGAACGCCCGTGTGGTTAATGAAGGCGATGAAGGACGTTTCGGCTCAGACTGTCAGTATAGTCCCCTTCACACTCCAATATTCTACAGCAGTTTCAATATCCTTCAATCTTCGTCGGGGTGTAACGAGTTGTCTCGTCCTTAAACATATTTAGATAAAAATATTTACCGAATAACTTCATTATATAGAGCACCATTCCCATGCCACACGCCGCGCCTATCTGATCCCCCTTCTCACAACATCGGGTCCATAGATAGCCATTTTACCCCCAAGCACCCGCATTTACAGTCAGGCCTTACGGTGACAGGCCAGACTTCACATCCATAACGTAAAGTTCTCCCTGTGCATGGCATCACGCCATGAAGACGTAAGGTGGAGTAGATGTACAGATCCACGTATTATTGACCCTAGACACTAGTTGCAATTGAGTGGTAAGCTTTATGCTCTAGCCTCTTTACCCCCGACACCCACTGGATAGCAGGCTAGGTGGGCCCCAGAACCGGTTTGGACGTCGTGGAGAAAACAAAAATCTTGTCCCNTCTAGCCTCTTTACCCCCGATACCCACTGGATAGCAGGCTAAGTGGGCCCCAGAACCGGTTTGGGCGACGTGGAGAAAATAAAAATCTTGTCCATACCAGAACTCGAACTCCGACCTCTAGACCGTAGAGAGTTGCTATACCGACTGCGCTATCCCGGCTCGTAGATTTCAAACCCATACAAAACAGAAGGTAGACCTGCAGTTTCGATTCATCCACGCCACACACACTTCCGGAGATTAGGCACGCCGGGTCGTAAAGCTCATCTCTCGAGTGATGTGCAGGACGCCCTCGTTAGCGCCGCGACGTTGTCACCGGACCGACAGAATGATCTGCAGCCCCACCACTGCAACCTTCTCTTGACACCCTACAAGATAGCACAACCCCCTATTCCTCACTCTGCTACTATTGCTGACTGACGCGACAGGCAAATCTCGTTGCAGCCCCCCCCCATTTCCGGGCATTGCGGGCCAGTCTGTTCGCAAGTTTCAAGTGATAATCAGACGCAAACCCTGACCTATCGTGTGGCACTTTCAATTCACTTGACGTGAGACTGAGTTCGAACTCTGGGAAACAGGTAAAGTGGCTGTCAGGCCTCCTCATGAGAGAAGTTCCCTGAAAACAAGCTGACAACCGGTTTAGAAACCGGCTTTGGCCATACGGGATCTTTTGGAATCGGACTGCCGGTTTGGTAACAGAAAACAGACTTGGCGGACGTTGGGAAATATTTTGGAACGCGCAGGTCTATGTAATTGCGAAAACAGAAGTTCACAGATTGAGGTTAGCTCTTTCTAAGGGGCCCAACTGAGTAGGTGTCTTCACGATCTCACGTGAGGGCGGAAAGAGTACTAGTTTCCGAAATGTGGTGTTTTATATCCTGTAGAATACCGGACGATGGAAAAAGTCCAAAAACCCAGTAATTCTGTACTTTAGGTGAGATTTCACAAAGCGTTTAGGTGACGAATGTTGTTTTCTGAGATGCGACGCCATGTACTTCGGTAGATAAACACCAACATTTCGGAGCAATCGGTCTCCTTCTTCAAGCCTGAGTACGGAGATAGCAGATTCCTTCGAAATGCTAGTATCTACCCGACTACACGGCGTCTAATCCAAGAAGACTGCAATATTAACATTGGTCGCCGTGAGAAGTGTAAGCGAAGTGAGATGAATGCGGGGCTGAAGGCGGAAAAGTTAGGTGACAGGGTGGACTAGATGAAGAACCTCTAGTGAGCGTGAGAAAGAAAATTAAGTTAGGTGAATGTGGCAAGGAGATTTAGGTGTCTGACTGGATTAGGAAGGCCACAGTAAGGGAGATGCCAATGGCAGTGGACGCGCGGTCTGAGGCACGAGCAGTCTTCGCTCGCTCGGGCACTGGGATCGTGGGTTCGAATCCCACTCAAGGCATGGGTGTTTGTGTGCGTTTATTCTGTGTTCGTGCTGTCCTGTGTGTAGGTAGGGACCTTGCCACAGGCTGATCCCCCGTCAAAGGAGTCTTACCGACTGATTATAGGATTAAGAAACTGAAAAAGCGGTCAAGGCTGTAGAGCCATAATAATAATAGTAGAAAAAGAACTTTAAGTAAGACAGGAAAAGGGCCGCGCCATGGCTCAAGCGCTTAGTCGCTGGTTTCTCATCGCGGCGGCCCGGGTTCGATCCAGGGTCTAGTCAAGTGCGATTTGTGGTGGACAGAGTGGCACTGGGGCAGGTTTTCTGCGAGTACTTCGGTTTCCTCTGCCAATCTTCATTCCACCAATTGCTCCACAATCACCCTCACCTATCATCTGGGGCTGGTACAATAGGCCAGAAGTGGCCGCAGTACAAGGGACTTGGTCCCACCCCACTAGCCTGAGAAAGCGGGCTGAAGCATGTAAGCTTCTCACAACAATGATTATGAAGGTTGCTGTATTCTGGTAGAGTGACTAACGTTAGGAAACAGCTGTTCTTCCTGCTCCAAATATGAAGCCAGCAAGCTCTCCCGAAAAGCTGACAGTTATCTACTAGGCTACACTGCGTTAAATCGCAGTTTGGAATGAACTGTGACTCACTACTGTCAAACAGACATTGAGGGTTATGACCTGACACTTACCGACCCTTAAACTGGTGAGAGTACAAAATGTTCGTATGTCCCCACATACGGGTGCAGACGTTACCTGCAACAAAAGAAATACATTAAATTAGTACATGCGAAGTTCCGTAAAAACTTGTGTACAATGTATTCCACATACAAACATCTGACTCATTGCTACTGTTTAAATTTTAATGTTTACTTTACTTAATCCGTTCCTCCTATACATTACGGTGTCGAGGTTGTTTTTCTGTTTTTCTTTTTTTTCATTTTGACCATTTCACAGGCGGTAGGACTCCTTGAGCGAGGGCTCAGCCGGTCGCAAGGCCTCTACCTAAACACAGGACAGCACAAACACAGAATAAACACATACATCTATGCCTTGTGTGGGATCTGAACCCACGATCCCGACTTCCGAGCGAGCGAAGACAGTACATGCCTTAAACCACTCGGCTACCGTGACAGACACTTTTAATATTACAAAGAAATAATTTCTGCGTTCTTAAAAATTCGCTAGTAGGGGGTGGAGTCCAGCTGGGTCCACTCGGCACGGCGGCCACTAATTGGCCTACTGTACCTGCCCCGGGTGATTATGATGATGGAGAATTTGGTGGAATGAAGATTTGCAGGAGAAACCGAAGTACTCGGAGAAAACCCGCCACAGCGCCGCTTTGTCCACCACAAATCCCACTTGACCAGAACCGGGCAGTCGCGGTGGTAACCCGGCGACTAACCGCCTGAGCTATGGCGCTGCCATATTTCTGCGTTCTTAAAACCACAACTGATGAGGCGGCCAAGCACCCCGAGGAATACATGAGCAGGGTGAGGCTGACTGCAGACTGAACACCGGGATGTCAAAATGAACATGCACTTGCACTTCTTGGAATTATCGAGTTTGGGGACTTGGTTCACCGTCTAACATTCCAGAAGAACACGACGTTTCAGAAGCTGGGAGGAAACGTCCCTACACAGCTGGGCTCCTCAGAAGGAGCTGGACCACAGAAACTGATCACTTTCTAAAACGTTCTGTTCTCAGAGCAGTACGCGACAGTACTTGATTAGATGTCTAATGAACTGGAAAGGATGCAGACGGAAGCGGACATGATACATCTGCCTGCAGGTACTGAGAAAAACCGAATTCATATTGTAACGTGAATGAGTGGCTATCGACAGGGCTGGGGTTGGTAATTGGATTTACTGAACACTTACACATCGTAACTACAAGTAACTAAAGCGCTGTCGTTAATTGAGAGGCTCTACAGTTCACTACAGCACGCATTAAGTCTTGTCATTCTGCTGTGTCCTCAACGGTAGTTGCTTGGTAACGACTTCTAACACCGTAACTTCCTCAGCTTCCGTGTTCACGTCCTTACTGGCCGGCGACTGTCTCACAATTAACTAAACTCTAGACTTGTCCTGATTACGAGTACAACATCCAGGCATGGGCTGCATAGAAAACAGTTCTCAAGTTCTTATACTGTTACGTCACGCAGCTGCCGCATGGACCGCTTCAAAGTTAGTCCATTGGCAAGTGATATGAATCTGTTGCCTAGTCATAGGCGTTGTTTACAGAGCCATTACTTAGCAACGGGTCTACATGTTACAATACTGTGATCTCTTATGTGTTGTTGCACAGTGTTTAAATCTGGCAAGTCCAGATGGGAGCACTGACCTATAACCAAAACATATAAACAAAGGGAGCTTAGTCTCCACTGGAATCGAAATCCACTCCCTCATTCCAGTATCAGCATTCTGCCAACTCGGCTGTTACTAACAATCAAAGCCATGGTACTCGAAACTACTGTGTTAATGATATTAGTATCAGCTGACGCACAGTTACAGCGTTACCTAACCTTACCACAACTCTCCCTAAATTGAATGTAAGAAAGTGTAAGTCCATCATCTACCCCCACCATTTTTCCAACCCACCCTCACCCCTCTAACCAGCCGCAGGAAACCGCGGATTTTACGAGCAGTAAAACTGTCCCTAACGCCTTGTTAGGAGGTCAAAGAGAAACATTTCAGCCAGTCTCATACAGCGTACCTCGCCGTTTTATAATCCGGATTTGTTTAACATATTACTCAAAACCGTTTCTATACTCCACAATTATAAATCTCGTTGAAATTTCATCGGGAAATTTTTGAGCGTAAAATTTGTCGATAGAACACATTTCTCTGAAAGTACAACTGTTTTCTATATAAATAATCTTCGTGAAAAATACATAGCCTAAATAAAGCAGCATGTAAACGTGGGTACTGTCACGTGTGGGAGTGTGACTACAGACGGGGTTTGGATTGCGGATGGGTCTTATTGACCACTTACAGTCGTAACTGCAGGCACTATAACACAAAAAACTACAGCACACGCTAAGATTTTTTCAGTCTGCTGTGCCTTCACCAGTCGTTCCCTGGTAACGGTTTCTAACGGTGGAGGTTCTTCAGCTTCCGCGCTCACTTCGTTGCTGTCCGGCGAATATCCCCACTCTCGTAACTGCATTAAACGGAGCCTGAGCCTTATGTTACGACCGAAGGTCAGTCGACCGGCCTGTCTTGAAAAAGCACCCATCTGGGGTTTGCGACCAGATTTTTAGTACTTTCAGACAGTGCGGGTTTGTTGATCTGGAGCGCTTTATCTGTCGAAATGACGGATCTGTCGTTTGGGACCATATTTTACTTTCTAAAATTCGAGACTTCCCTTTTCGTAGCCTCCTACGGCTCGTAGGGGTACGGTGGAGGGATACTGAAATAAACTCTAAACGTGTCCCACCGATAACCCCTCAGCACGGACAAACAGAAAACGCAGCTCTTCTATTGTTGTTCCAATCGTTTCCGTGGGAACATGTGTAATACCCTACAACAAAGAGATGTCAAGGCAAGCGGTGGAACGAGTCTATAATTTTGCCATTCTGCTATTAATTAGGACGGGGCTACGTAGTAGCGTAGTTGGTTGAAGCATTACGCTACAAGCCGGAAGGTCGAGGGTCCGATTCCCGATGAGATCATTGGATTTTTCAATTGATCTAATCCTTCCAGCCACATTATGGCCCTGAGGTCAATTTAGCCTCTAACTGAAATGAGTACCAGGAATCTAACTGGGGGAGTAAAGGGAGGTGGGCGTGTAAGGCTGACCTCACTGCCATCCGTGAGTCGATTATCTAGAGAAAACATGGGAACCTCGACGTCTCACAGACCCATGGGCCTCCACGGTCTGTGACAAGTACAGCTTTAGCTTTACTCTTCATTCGGACACACACTGTACTTTTACTGTAGCAACGGAAACGATAAGAGCCGTCCGGAAATCACACTGATGTTTTCAGCTTGCATAGTATACGCAGTGAGGCTTCTCCAGTTACCTCACCTTATCTCCGTTGCAGGATAGTAAAGAATTCTGAACACTATCTTCTGACATATAACGCCGCGTAGCCTAGCCACGTGCTTCCGCGTTAGTTTCTTGCCTGGCTCATTATTCGACCCTGAAGATGGAGGCGATGTTTGTCCGAAACGTCGGTTGACTATCAACGGACTACACGGCATTATACACCAGCAGATAGTTTTTTATAACGTCAGATCCTACGAGTTTTGAGTAATTAAACTTAACGTCATCAGCCAGTAACCGACCATGTGCTAGGTCAGAGAAGAATCTACCCTGAAAACAGAGACAGCAGGTTGGTAACATTCTACCACATTAGACGGCGTCACATCCAAAGAGACAGGAATCTTCACAGTCATCGCCCTGTGATTCAGAAATCTGTCTCCTTACCAACTGAGGCTCTGTCAATACCAGTCGCCATGTACAACTACATCACCGTCCTAACAATGATGTCTCAGCATCTTCCACGCGGACGGGCACCCAGTGGGCCCTCACCGGGGCGCTAAGTGACTCTCCCGCTGTTCATCTCCTTTCCGCACAGTCATCGCAGTGCCGCTGGGTAATGAGAAGGCAGTGCAACGCCTCAGTGAACATGGCGGGCTGCGAAATTATCTTCAGCAGTCATTAGAGTTTTCTTGTTTTGGGTGCGATTCGCAAAAATAGGCTGGTGCCAGCTACCTTCGTCTCGCGTCTGTCAGTCCGGCTATCCATCACCCCTGTGTCTCTAAGGATTTACATCACATTCATTACAAATTACACTTTATCTAAAACGCCTCTCAGGGTACGCCGTACGTTACGGTGGAAGAAAAGTCCCGTGTCTTCGGCGAAATTTCCGGTATGGCGCCTTTGTTTCCCATCGTGTGTTAAACGCCCAATCTAGACACTTTTTCAGGTAACGGTCCATGTCACCATCTGGTAATGAAGACACATCAAAATATTTTAGACAGAGAATAATATTGTTACGTGTCAGGGGTTCCGTGACTAATAATAACGGGTTCTGGATGGATGATTGGATTTATTGGCACTTCGATTGCAATTACAACAGCTCACCCCCAATGGCTCGCTAAGACTCGCCCCATTCCTTACTGGACTAAGAGTGTCTTTCTTTTGTGACGAATGCGAACGAAGGATCCCTGCTCACTCTCTCGAATGAACTGAACTAACTTTTATATATAACTTCGGATTAAAGTCACCATGGCGTACAGCTGCTTTGTTATTCTGCTTTTCTCTATTTAACTGTTGCCATGGGAACGTGCTTACCGAGCAGTTGCCCAGCAATGGATTATTCCGCGGATATTTGCTGCAGCACGAACGTATGTTTGGCGAGCCGTTGGCTAGCAATTGTCTTCCGCTCTGGTTCCAATATTCCGGCTTTTCAGGCGTCATGTCACAATACTAATATATGTAAGATATGGGGTTCAAGGTGTGGGAAGCACAAAGATTACTGAAGAGTGCTACTGTCTTCTGGAAAATAACGATGCGTACGCCGTTGAAAGTCAACCGACGTTTCGGACGAACATATCGCCTCCATTTTCAGGCTCGAAGAATAAGACGAACAAGGTGGCAAGCTGAGTAATTGGCTGGCCGGAAACTTCGGATCATAGAGGAAGCAGGAAGGAAATGGAAGAGTGGACCACAGTTCCCACTGCCACCTGTTTCAAGCTGGAATTTTGCTCGGCTTGTTCTTCGATCCTGAAAATGGAGGCGAAATGTTCCT